AAGACAAATAATAATAATAAATTATATTATTAAATACAAACTTTCAGATGGACATGGTAAAATTGTATTAAAACCATTTGAACATTGACAATAATATGGTAAAGTAGGATTTGTTGTTGTTATACAATTACCAGAACCACAAGTAATTGAATTACAAATATCTAGAGAAATTTGTTTTATTTTTTCTTATACTATATAAATAAATATTGATTACTTATTTAATTACCTTCACTATAAACAAGATGTTTAATAGTTAAAAAGAAAAAGATCATAATCATTTTTTGATGATCCATTGATTCAATACTCTTGATGGTGAATGTAAAAAAAAAGATTAATGAGCATATGATTCGATCTATAATTTAACTTTTCTCTCTTTTGCTCTCCAATTTCGATATACATGCTCACATAAAAAGCTATTTGAAAATCATATGATCAATTAAGGAGAGACGTCTCCGAAATCTCACCAATTATCGCTAAATTGAAGGGGAAGCATAAGTTGACTGATTACTCTAGACCCTATTGGATTCGAGCTTGAAACTTTTCTGTTAATCGGATCTGAGTGCGCGTTCGAAAATTTTGAACCCGACGGGCCCTACTATCCATTTGGGTGAGGGTGTGGGTGTGGGTGTGGGTGTGGATGATCGAAAAAGACTAACCCACACCCTCATATTCACGAGATTATCTCTTATTGTTTAACTGAATGGTCATCAAAATGGAATATTGAAGAAAATAATCTTGATCAAAAATTTACTTTTAATCAACTTTATAAACAAAATATTATTAGTCAACAATTATATCTTTGGTCAGCACCTATAGATATAGTTGAACGTTATCAGTTCTATTTAAATCATCTTTCAATTTTAAATCAATCATCTTTCATGGCAACACAATTATTCTATAATTGTACATTACCAAGATTTGGTCCATTATGTCAATATTCATTAGATAATTACATATCTCATAATTCATCATTATATGAAATTATTTATAATTTTTATCAACATGAATATAATCCTATAAATTTAACATGTTATACTCATTTAGAATGTAATCGAAGTTCTACATTAATATATTTTGATTAGATTGAAATTTGTGATGGAACCATTGATTGTCAAGATGGAATTGATGAAGAATTTTGTGGACAACTTTACTTTAGTGACTGTGAAGAAAATGAATATCAATGTGCTAATGGACAATGTATATCCAAAATATTTTTGCATGACAATCGTAATACTTTCGAATGTCTTGATCGAACAGATGAAATTTTGAAGGATATGAAAGGGAATAGTCCTTTATCTTTTAAGTTTCGCAGTGAATCAACATTTGCTACTGAAGATATCACATGTCCACAGCGTCATAACCCAAACCATATGAAATTGACAAGTTCATGTCTATTAACACGCGTTCAAATACTCGAGGAATTACTGTTCAATGACAAACCAATTGAAATATGTGATGATTGCTGGATAGCAGTTAAATGTCAGTCGGGCATTTATGATCGATTTGATCCAAGATGTTTTATTCATTGTT